CAAACCCCCCAGATGGGATGTTCGGAGGTCTTCGCTGAGGCTATCTCTGCCACCACCAAGCGCGAGGGGGAGTGGAGGATAATCGGCGGACAGGAAGAGGGAGACCGATAGCTGGAGGGGGACAAGTAGCTAAGCCAACACCCCCTGTAAATGACCAGGAAAGGACGGGCGTAGCGAGTGGTCTGCATGGTGATTTAAACACCAATTGGTAGCTCACACCCTCCAGTGACAGAAGTGGTGTGAAAACGATCAGATAAAATAAGAAATGAGGGGAATAAAATGAAAGGTGGCTTAAGGAAGCGAGACGAGTTATAAAGGGGAGTGTAAAGTAACGCATTATTTCCCCTCTCATTTGCCTTCTCACTTCTTCCCCCCCCCCTCTCTCTCTCTCTCTCTCTCTCTTTCTCTCTCTCTCTCTCTCTCTCTCTCTCCCATCTTTGACCAATTATTTCGAGATACGATCAGTGTTTGCTTTCACTTGTTGCTTCATGTCATAGAGGGATTAACACGTTTATGATTGATATGATTTTATCAGACATATGTAGGCCTATAGGTTCCTTTTTTTCTTTACAGTATCAAAGTAGGGTTTGTGTATAATAGGTTTAATTTTTTTCCGGTCATTTCAACAACCAATTTATACAAACGAGGTAACGTTATAACTTAGCTTGAAGTACTACTTTAAGTGGAAGTTGTAATTAATTGTTGCAGGATTGATTGACGTTCCATCAATATGAGATACTAAAATCAAATGGTGCAAGTACATAATGAGGTGTTGTGGTCTAGTGGATAAGTCATCGGACTGTAGATCACAAGGTATGGGGTTCAAAACCCACCCCGACACTAACGTCCTTTGGTAAGCGTACTTCCACATTTGCCACTATCCACCCATGTGTAAATGGGTACATGATCATGCTTGAGCGCTATCGGTGGCTCGGCTGTAACCAGATTTATAATGTCTTAGCTAAATGAGCGCTATACAAGCGCTATATCAGTGGCCGTTATTATCTTAATACAACATTGCAATTAAGCCATGTTATTAGGGACTTTTAGATTTGCGTGGACTGATACGTGTGACGTCCATTCAAGGCAGTGCATTAAAACGTTGTCGTTGTGCAAATCTAAAAGTCCCTATTATTGTTAAAAAGTAGAAAGGAATCAAGAAAATTAAACATTGATATACATGTATCAAAGATAATAAACACCATTTGGGAAATTCTGAATTTTACTTACCGACTGGTAGAAAATGGATTCTCCTGGGGTCTGGTGAGTTTCTAAACGGTTCATGGTGTGATGAAACAGGTGTGTGATGGGGTGAGAGACGCGCCGGTGAAAGGGGTAACGATCCCTGCCGGAGGTGCGCTTCTTGGTATGCCTCTAGAAAAGACCGAGTGGCGCTAGAGTGGTGGTGGTGGTGGTGAGGGTGGTGTCCCGATGTAGGGTGTGGTCCTGGGAGTGGTAGCGGTGACTTGAAGAGCGATGGAAGAGATGTGGTGAGTGGTGGAAGACGCGGGTGACAGGGATGCGTTGCCGCAGCCACATGGTCACGGACACAGAGCGGACATGGGGGTGAGAGGGGGTCGGTGTGGGGTCTGAAGATAGTGGCCGATTTGGTATCTGGTGATGTCCTGGAATGATGATGAATCGAAACTGGTGTCCGAGGATGATCAGTACCGTTGGTTGGAGTTAGAGGTGGGGTGCGGTTCAGGATCAAAGAATCGACGTAAAATGACCGAGACATCTTAATGAGGCAAGACAAATCCGACAAGTTCAAATCAAGTCTCATCCACTCAGAAATAAATACAATTTCTAGACCAGGTTCTTTACAAATCTTATGAATCACAACGTCTCCCTGTGATGAAGTATATTGCACTTGGTAGACACAAAACGCTTGTTTGTAGAATGAATTATAACATCTTAACAAACTTTAGAGATAATTTGATGATGTTCTCTTTCCTTCTTACAAATTCGATGATTGATCACGAGAAAATAAAGCTGTACCGAGTTGGTTTGACCCATAAAGAAAATATTGCACTTGGTGTTCCCCCGGACTAAAGTTGATGAATCGATGCCCAAAAGGCTGTTAAGAAGTTGGGAGGTGTGGATCCAGCGAATAATGCGAGCCGAACTCCTCTAAGTCGCTATAAAGCAGACACTACCCTTGCACCATTGGGAGTAAGCAACGTACATCGGTCCTTTATAGTCGGGTGAGCTCGATTTCGTTCCCTGCTCGCCCAGCTCTCGTATTGGTCACAAGTCTGAAGACCGAGCGGTTTGTCCGCGAATCAACACCCTTGTTCTGCCCTCCCAACTACCACGTTTGCCGCTAAATATACCCCCTATTCCCTTGCCATTTTCTAATACCATTACACCTAACCCCCAATTTCCAGCGAGCCTGTGTATTCCCCACTTTTTCTTACTTTTCCCCACTTTTTCCTCCCCTCAACTCCCTCTCTCCTTTTCTCTCCCTCTCTGTTTCTTTTGAGTTCAGTAGTCACGTGACATGAACTCGTGGATTTGTTTGGTTTAGCCGACCCGGTAGTGTGATGTCATAGTGGTTATCAGCGGTGATTGGCCCAGTCGAGACCAGCGCGTGGCAGCCACGCGAACGACACCGCTTACCCCCTTCGAAACTCTCGTGCTCCGTAGACTTTGTATCACACTTCCAACGCTCGCCGAACCCCGTCCCTTTTCGGTATGAGCTATGATGCATGGTCATGGCATTGCTGGTGGTGGTGGTAGTGGTAGTCAAGGTGGTAGATGGTGTACGTGTGACCATAGACGTAATGGTGTGACCCTCCTCTGCTCCCGAAAGCCACACCCCTTTTTTCGTTTAGCCCGTCACATCGGTCCTCAGTGACGCGGATCAGCTTGGCTGACAATTTTACGGCGATCGTTAGATGAAGATAACTGAGGATCCGAGGAGGGGTGCGCTGAGAGGCACTGGAACTGGTCGAGGGGTGCACGGTTTAACCTGTTGCATTGCCATTGACTCCTCGCATATGGGGCTTTAATGGCACCTCCCTGCATGTAGCAAGTACTACTAGTATGTGGTAGGAAGGTTAAATCGTGTATTATAAGTGGCAAAAGAAACTAGTTGTTATAGTCATTAACGTATACCTCGAAGATCATAACGAAATTATGATTGTTTGGAAATGTACAAGTCATTCACCTAAAAAAATGACTGACTGATTTAAATACACATGCATATTAATGATATATTCACGCAAAAATCATCCACAATAATTGGCAAGTTCACGAGAAAAATTTGTGAAAAGGATTTATCACACGGTTTCGTATGTTATTAATCAAATTTTTAGCATGGACATGTGATCATCATTTAGAAAGCAGCTTGTTGGAAACATCAAAGCGAAAAAAAGAAAAAGAAGAAGGAAACAAATGAAGAAAAAGACAAAATAGAGAACTTGAAGAACAACAGCCAAAACAATGTGAAAATAACTTTAAGAAGAATGACAATTACAAGCAAAACTGATTTGAAGAAGGAGTGTGTTTAATAAAATTTGGAGTGGACTTTAAAAGATTATTATTATTTTTATTATTATTATTAAAGAAGAAGCATAGGAAGAAGAAGAAGAAGAAAGGAACTTAAAGAAAAACAACAATTACATGAAGACGAAGTTGAAAATAAGAATAAAGAAAAGAGGAATTAGTAAAAAGAAGAAGAAGCAAAAGAGGGAAAGAACTTTAAGAACAACAACAATAACAAGAAGAAGAGGTTGAAGAAGAAGAGTAAAAGAGGAAAGAAAGGAGAGACGAAGGAGGAAAAAGAGGTGAAAAGGAGAGGTACTATAGAGAAAGTGAAAAAAATGAGAGAAAGAGAGAGTGGTATAGAGAAAATGAGGGAGTCACTTCGACCGAGAGAGAGAGAGAGGGAGAGAGAGAGAGAGAGAGAAAGAGAAGAGAGAGATATATAGAGAGGGAAGGAGAGGTAGAGGGAGGAGGAGAGGGAGAATGAGAGCGAGGGGGTCGCGTGCGAGAGAGATAATAAGGATGGAGTCAAAGGAGGGACACCGTATACAACATCATGAATATTTGATAAATATAGACATTATACAGACACATTCACCCAGCTTCATTATGACATGCCTCGATGATAACACGTGAATGGAAATGAATGTTCGGTCGCGATAATGTTGAAATGTTAAAGAGAAAGTTCAGTTCTGGGAAGATGTGAAAAATAATTTGTGAGCGTTATCATTGTTGATATGCAAGTGTTCAAGAACATCAGATAAAAAATGTTCCCTGAAAAGCATGGCTCATCAAAATGCTTTCATTTTCTAAATATGGGCATGTATAACAACATACAAATCGGGACGGATTTTTATGCCACATTTTTCGTGTAGCCCCATATACATCTTTCTGTGTACAGTGATTGTAACTTTACCATAACTGGGCCAAATTTCTTATCATTTTGATGATTCCAGAACCATACAGTACACACCAATACTTATATTCTAGATGATCAACATTTTCTGATCGATTCCACACCGTTTCTTTCACAATGCAATCGCATGACCAGAACTCGACTTTATCTTTAAAGGAATGATCGTTATGTCTTTAATAGTGTTGAGATTGTCCGATAAAAGGATATGTGATTTAACATACAAGTGATCAGGGGGATCCTATACGATACATTATTCAACTTTCTTTCTTTTTTCTCGTTTCCCGACTCTCTTCGTTCCTGTCCTATCATGTTGTACAGTATTCTGGGTTCGTGTGGTACAAAATACAATTTCTTCAATTATTGTATTTGATATTTACTTCATATTTATTTCCCGCCATTTATGTTTACCAAATCCTTTTTTATCAGGAAAGTTGTATTGGCAAAACCTTACTGTTGTTTTGCTAACAGCTGTGCTCAATTTAGTTATGTCATCATTAATATATAGATATATTATGTTTATGCCATTCAAATGTATTTATGTATGAAATTGCATCTTGTTACTTGATGTATTTTTACAAATGTTTTATACAAAGAGAGAATTTGAATAACTTAAGCGAATTGAATTGAAACAGTACGCGCTAAGAATTAGTAATTAACATTAGAAACGAACAAATGTTACGTTGTTGAATGATTCAAAAGGAATATAATGCGGAGTCTTGAATGTATTGAGATACGGAATATAAAAAGGCGTAAAGATAGCCAAATGATCTCTATAATTTTATATCGTTATTATAAACTTCTTGAAATAATTTCGCCAAGACAGAATCTATTTTAATCTGAAGAAAAGGAAGAGATCGAACCATTTGCACTAAATATTAGGTTTATTGAATAAATTAAAAACTAATTTTCTTCAAATCGAAGAATAGAAATCATTACATTTTTCTCCACCAGATTTGGTTTGACAGTTCGTCATGTGAAATCTTGCTAGCGTTGAATGGGAGCGCAAAAGAGAACTTCCGCTTGTGAACTTTGCTTCACTCGCTTTAATATTTAGAGATAAAATACAATTATTGATTGGTCATCATGAAATCAAAATACGAGATCTATTGAGGGCGAATTTCACACTCATTCGAGCAATTCAGGTTACAATTATTAAACCACCATGTCAGACTTTCGATTGATGTTTTTAAAAAAAATCTTGATTTCTGTTTCGAGTCTTTGCATCAATAGCAGGAGCGAAAACCGCACGAAGCGTGCAACCCCATGTCAAGAGTTGGAAAGGAGGCCCCCTACAAAGCCCAGCGACACCGCTGGTTGGCAGCGCCTCGCCCCAGAGACCAGGCGGTGCGTAGCGGCCGCTGCCCGTTCAGGTTCGCTGGGACTCCGCGGCAAGTGGTTTTCAACAAGTGACAAACCACAGTGTTACTAATAGACACGAAAGACACGCCCTTTTCTTTTCTTCCTTTTCTTCCTTTCCTTCACAATATCTACAAGTATTAGAGGGAGAGAGAGTGAGAGAGAGAGAGAAAGAGAAAGAGAAGGGGCACGAGGCAACTCAGACGGAAATTATGAGTACTTTTATTCTCGTCTTTAAAATGCGCTAATGATTTTGTTAAGCCCCAAAAAGCAATAAGTCAAATTTGATTTGATTTGAATTAATGAAATAGCAACATAGTGGCATGCACTCTAAATCTATTACAAAAGCATTTCTATAGTACAGTGGCGAGAAAGAGTTCAAAAATAGGTGTATATATTACTCCTTTTCCCTTTGTTTTTGTATTATTTACTTTAATACGAAATAGATTTTATGTGGGATAGGGGTGGGCTAGGCCTAATCATGATTTACCGAGAGAGAGAGAGAGACAGAGAGAGACAGACAGACAGACAGTGACAGAGACAGACTTAGAGAGAAGGATAGACAGAGAGAGAGAGGGAGGAGAAGGGAATATGACGTTAAACTTTTTTCTTTTTTTAAAGAACAAGAAATTGCAAACCAAACTTCCATAGCTCATGATAATAAACAGACCGGGCTCTCTTCTATTATTTTTTTTTCTGGGGGGGGGGGGGGGGGGGGGCTAGGTCAGATTCTTTTGCTACACTGGTACATATTATCTGCAGGGCCCCACAAAAAAAAAAGAACTTTGATTGAATGAACGGTAAAATAATGAACTTTATGTTTTATCTAAACGTACATGTACATGTACATGTACGTCCTGAGAGAGAGAGAGAGAGAGAGAAAGAAAGAGAGAGATAGAGAGAGAGAGAGAGCAATGAATTTAGTGCGTATACATAAAGGGGTCCTGTACATCGAAAATGTAAATGAAATTTAAGAATTACAGAAAATATGACGTTGTGATCAGACATGATGGCATAAAATTGGTCCGAGAGAATCCCGCTTAAATGCCACAACTTTACATTAGAGACGGCAAAGAGACACATATGAATTCCTTTGGTAAGGACTTACCGAGTCCCCTCGGATAGGACATAAACACATAGACCCCTTAGTTGCTTGATTACAAACTTAGTATCATCACAAACCTTATCATACTTGCTTCATAAGCAATCTGGCGAAATAAACCTAATACATCACTATCTTAAAAACATATATTTTAAGAAGTTTTGGGTTAGACCAATTCATTCACGTAGGGCCTACTCTTTTGGTGTCCTTGCTGTCTAGCGACCAATTCTTCGCACACGTACACGTATGGTATCCGCGATCGCTCAAACCAGTTTTTAAGCAAGACTGAACTATTCCCGGTAACTTGAATTTTACCCTCAAACTATTACATGGGCGTGGCATTTTTCGTTTATTTACGTGAATGGCTTAAACCATGACTGCAATTTCGACCAATCAGATGGCTGGATTTCTTAAGTGAGGTATATAATGGGTTATGATAATCATTTGAAATACCTTTTTTCTCCTATATTTTCGTTCTCTTTTTCATATGTTTTTTTGTTATTGCTGCAGCTATATTGGTGATGTTTTTAAAATGTTTATTTTTTTCTGTTTCTGTCAGAAACGTTTTTTCATCGATGAAACCAAAACTCCATCTTTGGGCATTTTTTTTGTCTTCATCGAACTTGGTTACTATTTTACT